CCGCTCCACTGCCGCCCGTCTTCCCTGTTTCTGTATTTCCTTAGGCAGCCTTTGTATGGCCGCAGCCTTCTTCTTGAAAATAGACTGCACATTTGTATATTCAATAAATAAAAAGGAAGTAAAAGAAAGACGTTAAAAAAGACGTTCCATTGCAGTTTGAGCACAATTTCCAAAAATAAACAAGGGCGATGGCAATGCGGTCCTACATATAGCAACCGTTGCTCCATGTGCATCTCTAAATGTGTCTGCAGCTCCGACTCAGGTTTCGAAACGCCAGTTTCAGACGGTAAGTCCTCTTAACTAAGTGGCCATCAAAAACCATCGCGCATCTGACTTCAGATTATCGTTCAAGCATATCAGAAGATACGCTTTTTCGCCCACTACATTCATTATTCCCGTAGCACCGAGGTTTTCAAAAAGAAATAAAGTAGAATTAACAGGAGAGTTCTGTACCGCTCTCGTTAGATTGTGGCACTTATCCGTTCTATATTTGTGAAATGATGTAGTAAAAAATGTTGAATTTGGTGGGGCTTCGAATTTTCCTTTGCTAACATCGCGATTTTACGGTGAAAAATGCCTTACCTTCTCGATATTCATTATCAGATGAATTCATTTAGCTTTTAAGGTCAAATGCTATCCTACAACCACACATTCTAAACATCCCTGAATTTTATCACGCGTGAGCGCATTGTGTGAGAAATCGCTACAACCGATTGAGTAAGAGAGGACAAAGACTGCAAACAGAACATCGTGGTGGCTTGAGGGCCGCTCTTAGGTGGCGTTCCATCCTGTTATTATTTTTACTAACATTCGCTTACTCATAGGAAAAATTAACAACCACAAGAGCACAAAATATGAAAATGTGTTTCCAAAAACGTTGGAAATAGTATGCTCCAGAAATGCTGATTACATCCGGAAATTGAAGATCGTGTTGTCGCGCTTGATAAATTTGATATTTCGGGGTGATCAGAATATGAACTTCAATAATAGAGGTGGTGGAGTAGTTACTTTTGTCAACCGTATGTGGTGTACCAACCCATATCTTGTGTTACATTTTAATTTCAGAAAAGTCAACCGGATCGTCGTTTAATGTAAACCTCACGAGTGTTTTCCAACTACTCGGCACAATTCACGACAGGCTTAGACCAGTCCTTGCTCATTGCAGCTGGGGATATTAATCGTTTCGATATCCGTTTTTTAAGAACATTAAATTGGGTTAATCTTGTGCAGCTTTAAGGCCCAGCTTGACAGCATTTTTGTAAATATCTCAGAGGTCTTCTGTTAAAAAAAAACGGGCCCATATTAGCACTTCCGAACACTACAATTTTGTCTACCCTGAATAATTGGACAACTGATAATGTAAACTAGACTCGGAGAAATGAATTCATCGGCCGATTTTTCTGTTGGTTTGTTTGTTTTTTCAATTCCAAAAATTTTTCCACATGCGAACATCTCACCGGCTATCTTAATTTATTTTTCCATTTGTGTTGCCCCGTCGAGACTGTAAACATGCCTAATGAGAGATTTTCATCGACTCTTCTAAAACGGCTTCGCCGTGATAAGGAACAGACATATATGAATGGCAAGCGCAAAGATGTTAATCGACTATCCATTCTCATCAAGGTAAAGATTTAGTGCTTCAGTTGGATGTATATCGATATCATTCTAAGCAACCAGAGCTGTTGCGAGATGTGGTCGGCGTTGAAGCAACTCCGTGACACATGTGGAAGCCCCTGTCCTGACTTGGAAGAATCATCTACAATTCTCTGCCCCATCTGGTTCTAATTCTCTACCGTCCCCCTGCAATTCCCCTGAAAACATCACCCCTGTTGCTTCAACCGAGATTCTCGGTTTTGAAGCAACGTAAGTCAAACAAGGCTCGTGGACCTAACTCATCATCCTCTGTTACATTGAAAACTTGCGTCGAACACCTATCAAAATCTATTGCTGAGTTATTTAATTTGTGTATGTCCTCCAGAACAACCCCGGATTGACGGAGGGCTGTTCGGATAAGACCTAGCCCCGACGGGAGTTCCTCAAATTATCTACCGATTGCTTGTACCTCTGTCTTGTTTGAAATCATTGAGTGTCGTTCAACTACCCTCACTGATATTCTCGATCATATTCAGTTTGCTTACAAGCCTTTGCTTTCGACACTTGACGCCGTGGCTTGTTTTTTTATTCTGTGGCCTCAGTGTTAGATAGGAATACTGGGACAGTTCGACTTATTTTCCTTGATCATGTCATTGGTTGCGGCTTAGGATACAACGTGTTAAACGTTCTTCTAAACTACTTATCTTTCAGAACGTAATTTACTGCATAAAATCCTAAAAATTCGTCCACTTCTGACGTCAACTCCGGTGCTTTTCAAGGCATCATCATGACTTCATTTCCTGTAAATAAACAAACTGAGGGGTGTATGGGGTACCCGGTAGGAGTAGCACCTCTTACTCGGAAGGCTGTCGGCTCCTTTGGAGTATACTCCGTTCTTTGGTTTCCACCAGGCGCTCAGCTCTCACCTGTGGCTCCAAGAAGCTGTTTGGATACAACAGCGGCCACATCCCGATGAACCGCTAGACAGGCGGGCCAAACTAGATTGAGGGTAACCGGGAGCTCAACTCTCGGCGAGTCGGTGTCTAACGTACGTATTGAGTGGACGAAATCGCCTTCACAACTCAACGGTCGAGACAATGGCTCCGTACTTATAAAGGATGCATGGACCCCTGTTCAATGACGTATGAGCTCTCCCCAGAGAGCCACCATGTGCTACCTTCCTGCTGCCTTGCAGTTAACACTTGGATGTTCAAAGGTTATTGATGTCACCTCGACCCAAAGCCGGGTGACGCTGGGGACGTTTACTGTACGTCAAGAAATTTCATGGACATTCAATTGATATTCATGAAGCCGGCTTAACTTCTCCCGGGAGCCAGCCGCCGTAAAGTAAAGTAAAGTAAGTAAACAACCTGGCTATTTCTACCCACTTTATAACCTGGAAGTATGCTGACGATGTGGTGGAGCGAAATTCGAATAACGACGTATCTTTCCACTAACTTTAAGACAGTCTGAACGACGTTTTCGGTTGATCCTTGTCCCTTCCTCTTATGCTTAAGGTTGCCAAATGTGTCCATATCCCCTTCAACCTTAAATCAGGCTCCCATTATCAAACTGATTTTAATAACCTACCGGATCGCGTCGTTAACAGCCACAGAACTGACTCTGTTAAATCCCACAATCTCTCTTGAACTAGCCATGTGAAAAATATGTTATGCTTGCATGGAGCTTGCTGTTCCCTTAAAGGTGATTTTTAAATTTGCAGTAGCATGCATCCTACCTCATGGGCTGTACTGTATTTTGCTGGCTTGAAACAAAAAGATTCCATAATTATTTCCAAATTATTAAAACTCCTTTTCCGATGTAGTAACAGCCAGAAATATCCTGTTTCACTTTATTGTGCAAACATATTGAGTCATGTGAAATAATTGCTAATAGAATCTTGAATAGTGAAGATCACTGCTTGCACAACGAACTTCTTAAATCTTATGCCCGCCTCCATTATTAGCTCCTTGCCGCACTCGTAGCGATATACAAAAATAGCATCCTCCCTTGTCTCACCGGTATTTTAGTGAACCGGGCACCAATTATTGCAGGTCTGGTGGAACATTTCAGAAGTTATCTTTTTTATTATTACTACCGTCCTTTTGCTCACAAAGTGTTTTCGTTTTGTTTACCCTCTTCACACTTTTGTGTTTTTCCCTGTTTCCACTGTATTCTCGTGTTAACCGCTGAAAATTCACGTTTTGTATGCACAAAGCTTATTTTGACTGCTTACTAAGCACCTGTGTAACATTCTGAAAATGATATCCTGTGCATGTAATTCGTGCCACACGTTTACTCAATGGTAAACACACCTGTCAGTTGAGATGTACTACGGTAGAAGTGAACTTCGGTTGGTTGATAAGTCCACATTTCGAGAAATATTAAGCATGTTTATCCACAAACAAGGTGTGAGTGTGTATGTGTTGACGGAGAGCAAGGTGGAAGAAGTTGTACTTACCAGTTTTGAAAATTTTGTACGGCACTTGCAATCGTCGGAACATGGGAGCCACGGTTCTTTTGAACAGCTCAAGTGCCTTACCTGCACCGCTGCACGGATTGACAAACACCAGATAGGGTTTCAGTCCGGCTTAAGGAAGGCAAAAAAGGCGATTTAGGCAACCAGATACTCAAACGATGACCGGAAAATGCGATTCCCTGCACTTATCCAACCGATACTCTACGGACAACGTTCATCAGCAAGCCAATAATACACACGAATCTCAGAAATAAACTGCCCACCTTCACTCCATCAATGGTTACTTGTTCATTTACTTGCAGCTGTGCGACAAGTTACGTGGTTCGGAAGATGAGGTGATAATTGCAGAAACTCAAAGAACACAAATCAGCCTGTCTAAGCAATGGCCGCAAAAGAACAGCAAGCGCAATCTAAAATTCGTCTGTAAGTCATCTATTGAGTGCCGTCGATTGAATCAAGGCTCGTACAACAACGAAAGTTAGCAATAGCGGAAACAATTGCAATCAGGCTGTTAAAGACATTACTATGAGCGCATAAAAATACTGTTCAAAGCACTCCAGTTGCTCTCTGGCCTCGAGTTGACCTAGATAAGTAGTCTGACCGTGAAACGATGATGACATCAAAAAGCAAAGACCAACACAGGCTACAGATATGACCTCTGGACTCCCCCTCCCCACCTTATCCTAGCGTGTGTAACATTTAATGACTTAATTTATGTAACCTGATTCGAATTTACTCACTGATCGATATTCCAAAGGAAATCGTATATGAACATGCATGCTAATGTAGATGCCTGAAGACGTATTGAACTATTAGAAAAATATTCACACTAAATATCTCGTAATCAACAACATACTGTGATTCTAACAACGAAATTCACTAAATCCATCAACTGATCGAGAGCATTCTGTACACGATTATTTGACTGCAAGGTCAAGGCCGATCGAGAGAATGGCCGCCACAGCATCATAGTGCATGTGCGTACACTAGCTCGTTTTAGAGGTGATTATCGGAATTGTGCAATTGATCAACCATCGGAACACCTGTAGTCGTAAGTGCATCACTGTTTATCACGAGAATGGAAGCAGAAAAAATCGTTTTACAATTCTTTGGCTAAGCAATGTTGTCATACGAATAAACTAAGTATATATAAATTGTAATTGTGAAAACAGCGATGTTGGTACGGGTGAAAATAAGCCGACATTTCAGTTACCGGTTACCTCTACCCAGACGATTTTACAATCGCCTTTACAATCGCAATCGACTGTAAAATCGCCTTAATAAAGNAATAAAGGTTACCCACGGTAACCGAAACGTCGGCTTATTTTCACTCGTACCTAAATAGCTGTTTTCACAATTACAACTTATATAAAACATACCACATGACGCATCGATTTTTCGATACACTCCGAACGTCATTCGGATCTGAGACTATAAGCCAGGTATACATTCATCGGGAGACATGACAACGGACAAGCACATCCTGCATGAGCATTTCATAAGGTTACGACATAGGGGACATCACATATATTTGCACAACGATTAAAAAATAGAAACTTGAGACACAAGGGTGTGGAGATATATCCACTCCGTTGATCATTTTAGACAGGTAACTAAATACGGTTAAATGGGTCGTCTTTGTCGTCATCGTACAGCAAAATATAATGATAGAGAATTTCCCACCGAATCATTACCAAATACTCGATGGCCAATCTCGGAGTTGCTTACACGCTCGTTTCATCCAACCCGCGCCGAACAACGTAATGCTCAACAGTCGAAGATTTCTAGAAGCTGAATAGTCTCTACGCGCAAATTTAGGGTCTCGCAATCGTAAAGCAGAACTGACCGTACACTGACGCAGTATACGCGACCTTTCAGTTTCGACGCAACATCACGTCGGCACCAAAGGCGTTTCAGTCCTGCATACGCTGCTCGTGCCTAGGAAATGCAGGTGGCTACTGCCTCGAATATGCTACCGTCATTTGTCACCCAATCACCCAAGTAGGACAAACAACCCACCATAATTGATGCTTAGTCATCTAGCATCACAGCCCGGGTAGACGACACCCAATCTTGCGACATCACTTTGCACTTCAAAGGCGCAACGTTTATCTTACATTTACGGAGCAATAGCGTTTTGAGCATTATCCATACATGAGAAAAATCAAACGATATCGTCAGTGGATTCCAAATCACACAGCTTCTCTCCAACTGTCTATTCAACGCCAACATCTTCCCATTATTTGTATTTCCCCAGGTAGCCTCTGTATGATCACGGCCTGAAAGTTTACTGTACGCTTTGATGATCAATAAAAGAAAAAGGAAAACGTTTACTCATCTTTTTATAACATCTTGAAGACCACTTGGTGCATTCTCTACCATTTTGCCTACAACGAAACTCTATAGGGATGACGAAACAGAGCACCATTGTTGTTTTCGAAGGATTTGCTTAGCGGACCGCAGACCCTCACGCAAATGCAGGTATGTAGGTACTGTGGACCCGTCAGGGCTTCATGCTCAAGCAAAACGAAGGCTCCATTGAGGTCAAGGAACACTGCTACGGTTGGTCGAGTGCATGTGTCGTATTGCGAGGGCTTAACAAAGAGTGAAGATTCAATCGATGCAACTGCGCTCCTTTTTTTCATTACACACAAGTGTGTGATGAACAGTAGACGAAGACTTGCTGATCACTGATGGAAACCGGCAACCTGAAGAGAAGAATTCCATCGGGTCCCAATGCCATCCATTTCCTTGGCGATTGAATACAGATTTGTATCTCTGGTTCTGTTGGAGGCTCGCGTGTTATCGCCCATGGAGTTGCCGCTGCAGTTGCCGGAATAACCGAACTAGTATCAGATCAGTTGAACTGCTCGCTAAAATACTCAAATCTTTGTTTTTTATTGTGGATACTCTGTCCACTTTAAACAAAAACAGTTTTCCTGACCGGCGCTACGCATTGGGTGAAACAAACTTTGCTTATTCCGTGATGTAGAGGCTACTTCCATTTTACTAGCTACTTTGGCCCAGTAGTTTTTGAGATTTTTCATAAGCCCTTTCCTGAACTGACGTTGTAGAGGCCACCGGTTACTACGTAGACCCAGTCAACTTACCATTTGAACTAGAACACCGTGTAGCAGTCCGACGAGAATTGTGTCAAAAGTAAGTACTAGATAAAAAAAAAAGACTGATGATCTGCGTAGAACTGAGATAGTCGATCGTCGTTTTTTTGTTGGTTGGGCGGGTGGAGCGAAACGCCTCTAGACTGGCCTCAGATGTGCTCCGTTTTCCAACCTGCGCGTTAAAACCGCTTATAATATCAGTGCTACGGCTCAATCAAATGAGTTCGGTGAGTTTATCGTAAATTTGTCTTTTTGTGAATGGGGACTTCAGTTGGTTGGTGCACGTGCAGAAATCAATAAAAACCTTTTGGTGTGGCTTCCCTTCCGAAAACTAACAGAACCCTGGACCCTCATTGCGCACAACCGACTAAAGAGGGTATCCAATCTACCAGTAAGCCCTCGGTTTAGTCGTTTAGTACTACTCCTACAACGCGCTGGTCCAGTGAATAGTATCATCGAATCCTGATGTGAGAACGTACCTCGATGACAGACTCATCGAACTCATGTGTCATATACTGCTGGGATGCTGAATTTGTCTCCGATACACATCAATTTACGAAGAATTCATTGTACGCGCATGATACGCTTCCTGACCCACCTGCAGCAGAGGTTTCTCGTTGAAGGTCCCAGATTCAGAGATTGACGGCACTTCAAAATATGCAGCTTATTAAGTGCTAAACTACTTACAGTGCTGCTGGGCAACGCGCTTCGGTGAGTAACAAACAAGTTGTTTGATGGATTGTTAAAGGCCGGAAGAAGAGGCAAAGGGAGAGGGTTGGGTATAGAAGACAAAGAATTAAACAAAGGTTGGGATGTTTGAGCAGTAGTTCACTTACTACTAACCACCGGCGCACGAAAGTGCACGGTTAATGGCTATAAAAAGTGAAATGAACTCAACCACCCCGCTCGACGTGCAACGCGGTTTTGGTCATCCTGAGCGATAACCGATGCAATATGGAATTAGTTTTAGTTTGTTTTCCTTGAAGCTTTGTGAACGGCTATGGCTGGGGATTAAGACCAGCAAGTAGGAGAACGAATAGGGTCCTCAACCAAAGTTCTGACAAGAACCTGACCGTAAGTCAGCGGGTGAGGTGAAGTGAAGGCCTATCTGCTTGGATCATCTACTCTTCCGTCATTTTTTACCAGTCCAGATGTCAACGCAAGTCAACACCCGACATAGGGGATTGGAAGACTGAACTATATCTGACCCCTACACATTGACCGTCCAGGCATGATTGAATCTTCAGCTTAAAAAGCCGTCATGTGTAGCTCGTTGGGTCACAGAGGTGCACAATTCAGCACATTACGCCAAGGTGCGGTCTCGTCGTGTTAGCATTTGATAACACGTGGCTTCTGTGTTTATTATTTACTGCTCTCAGTGCAATTTAGATAGAACATGCTCACATTTTAGGACATGAATCAAAAATAAATCGACCGGTTAATAACTGGTAACTACACAAGACGGCATGTGCAAGATTTATGACTATCTTCTGTTTCTTGTGTGTGTGACTGTTCTGTTCAAAGAGTGCATCTATGACCAGTCTTTGCTATGGCAATCTGATATCTCACGGTGAAACTCGAAGTTATCGATCCCGTGTTGCCCTGGCCGGTAACCTTCTGAATATCTACCGATGCAGTTAACTCGATTAAACTGGTATACACAACAAGTACGTTCGCACCAAATGGAATAATTACGAAAAAACCAACTAGGTCTTCGAACTACATTGTATAGTTATATGGAGTGGCTCNGCTCGTAGGTTGGTGTTTGCTGTCACATGTAAATTAGTCAATCGGGATGCAAATTGTGTATTAGTGCGTGAACGTGTACAGGAAGTAAAATATTTCGCATTCAAAAAAGCTAACTGTTCGAAGCTCGACTTACCAGGCTCCGATGAAATCAACGCTTGTATTTGTTGCGCTAATTTCTGCAGCTTGTAGTTATCGTTCATAACGAGATACATAGTATATTCTTTCAAGACTAATCCGTATCGAAGTTGCGGATTCTTTTTCATAGCATCGTCTGTAAACTGACAGCGAAGGGTCGTCTGCAGTGAGCAATAGCAACTCACCTCTAAATAGCGCAAACGCAATCGGCCACGTAATCGGTCAGAGAAACGAAAAAGACGAGGATAAATCAAGCGACAATCAATCAGCTGTTCTCGTTGAATGATACGTGTGGGAAAACGGAATACAGAAGACGATGTCAGACAATTTCCGTTTCCAGTCATGTGTTCTTCACTTATTCGAATCCCATGATTGAGCACCATCAACTTTGCTGAGATAGTTTTTCGTGGTGAATTCACAGACAGCTGAACAATGTATTCATCCGGGGACGCGTTGATATGACAGGATTCAACGATCGGCATAATGGAGTTCACTTTGACGGTTTAGCGAAATTAGGCTGTGGACAATCGAAAAGTGAAAAAGCAGTTGTATGTGATCAATAGCTGTCAGGCTCAGATTAGAATACACTTCCTGGTCAAAATTAGCAACCCATACTACCATATATATATATATATATATATATATCGAGAACTAAACTGAACTGAGACTAACTATTCAAACTGACTTTTAATGTTTTAATAAGGAATCTGATACTGCACAATAACACAATGCCTGAAAAAAGTGATTCGAAAGATTGGGGGACAAAGGAACCTCCGGCAACCCACGAAACGAGATGAACGACTTCATGGAACCGTAATTTGTCTACGAGAGTCTGAACTGAATGCCGAGCGGTGAGCATCCATCATGTAAGCATCTCACTGAGCGAACTTTGGATGCTTGAATGGCCTTAGCCATTATCAGGCCTATGCCCTTTAAGGTGCTCAATTGAACAGAACAGGAGCCCTTCAAACCACGATCCGAAACAAACTGAACCGCGTTTTTGGTCGTGCGAACGGACACTAGTATTTCCCAAGTGGACCTTTCACTGCAATGGCTGTTTTATTCTGCGTACAATCTGAAAGAGAGTAGAACACAAACACCAAAAAACAAAAGCTTCGCCTGGGCATGAAAACGGAGTAGCAAATTGCCAAGGTCGTTACTATTCGGTGTAACGCAGTTTTCAGTTCAGTTCAGTTCAGTTCAGTTGCACAGGACGAATATGGCTCTTGCCAATCGAG